CGCTGTTTCTGCTGCTCCAACACGCTGGCCACGACCCACACCTCACCGCTGTTGCGGACCACGTGTCTGTCGCCATCACGAATTACTTCAGCCGCCCCAACACTGATTATTTTAATCCACTATACGGTACGAATCGGGTGGATTTCTCCAACGGTGCCGAAGTGTGCCGCCAAGGTGGTGGGATTCTTCCCGCCGATCAGACGCAGAGCGCGTTTTCTATGATTACAAGCGCCATTGGCAGTGCCGAATCCTCGGTGGGACGCCGGTACATCTTCATGGGTGGGGATGCCATGTACAGTTCGACCAAGGTTACAGACAAAGCCAAAAGGTGCTTGCGGGGCATCAGGTCCACCGCGCTAAATTGCATATATAGGTGGAACCTTGGCCGGTTTGCGGACGCGACAGAGGATGGCTGGGGTGTTCCTTTCTTCCGTGGTTCGTATGCAGGGCCCGCAACAGAGGTCTTGAATGGTTACCCGATTTACTGGGCGCCAAACTACCCCAAAAACGGTCAGGTCTTTGTCATCTCGCGTGTGGACTCCGCAACGGGTGTCGGCAGGGAGTGGCTGGATGGCTTGGGGGTGGCCAACTTGAACGTCGAGACGCCTCCTTTTTCTTTCGTTGTGGTGTGTGAGGTTCAAGAAGGATATGACCCGAATGCCACCTCATTGCCACCCGTTGTGGTACTCTCATGGGCGCAGAAATATTGGTACGTGATTCTGATCATTGTGTTAGTGCCCGTGATCATTGCCTTGGCCTTACTCATTATATGTTGCTGTTGTTGCGGCAGGAATGAAGACGAGGAGGATGACAAGTCAGTGGTTCCAATGGTCATGCGCGAGCAAAGTGGGATGTCTTTGCGTCCAGCTGAAAGCAGCCAAGGGGGTTTCGATGGAAACTACGAGGGAGATCCTGGGTATGTGGACCAGGATCAATGGGAAAACGGATCCGATGTGTATTCATGAGCAGGCTTGGCGTTACGACGACATCTCTGCAAACTAAGCTAGAAGGCAGCAAGTGATGTGTGGTGTTTGCCGTGTGGCATGCAGCAGGCCAACCTCGTGCGAAGAAAAGGGTAAGCACGTTTGCACAGCTTCCGTTAGACTGGTTTGTTTTCATTTTTGTTTCTCCTTTGTTTATTGTATTTATTTTTGTTCTTTGGTTTGTTTTTCACATGTGCATTTCAGAGACTATGCAGCCTACTCTCCTACGCCACCTTGTCACTAGTAATGCGCTTTGAGTTCAATGTGTCCCGCAAATTCAATGAACGAGGTTTGTTTGAGTGAGAAGGACAACAGTAGACGGCGCAGTAGGAATCGGAGGAGGAACGGCTGTCATCGGCGGGCTCGTGTTATTTTGCTCACCCATATTTCCCTCTACTATTTTGATGTGTGTATGTTGACAGAACGTAGAAAATGCAGCTCTTCTACGAAATCCGCCTATTTGAGAACGGGGTGTCGATCTGAAAGCATGGTGGGGTCAAGGTGCGGTTTTCTGTCAAAGATCATGTTATGCTTCCTTCTTTGTTTTTCATGTTTTTTTTTGATTCTGTGGTCCGTTGTAAGCGCTCTTTCGTGTCATAGTTTATATTTCAGAGCACTGATGCACCTTCCACTACAGGTTAAGAAGGTGAGTAGGAGGGGAAAGTGAGGCACTTCTGCATAGGTGCTGAGCACTGCCATGTCACAGCTTTTGTGTGACGAGTAGGTAGCACCTGCCGGGCATTTTTGTACCCTCTCAGCTTTTCCACCTCCGTTTCCCTGCATCTCTCTTTCCCTGTCGTTCTTGTCTTTCCACACCCCGGTAGCAAGGCAATCTGCACGCCAAACCTTCCTGCCAATGGCCATCGACGCGCGGACGAGGTCCGGTGGGGCGGTGCGAACGGCCACCATTTGGATGACGCTGTTTCTGCTGCTCCAACACGCTGGCCACGACCCACACCTCACCGCTGTTGCGCAGTTGGTGACTGTCCCCATTGAGCGTTACTTCAGCCGTCCCAACAGTGATTTCGCGGCGCAAATCGGTGCTATGGTGGATTTCAGCAACTCTGCGGAAATATGCCGTCTGGGTGGAGGAATCCTAAGCGCCGACCAGACGCCAGCTGCTCATCGGCAAATCATGAGCTATTTGGGTAATGTGGATATGGGAGGTACGGTTTATACGTACATGGGTGGGGATGCCATGTACACCATTAACTGGGAGAAGGACCCAGAAAAAAAGTGTATTCGCGGCTTGAATGCGCCCTCCCTGAACTGTCTGTTCCAGTGGAACCTTGGTCGGTTTGCTGACATGGAGAGGGATGGTTGGGGTGTTTCGTTTTACCGTGGTTCGGTGTACACCGTTAAAGGTGCTGGACCGGTAAATGGATATCCAGAATTCTGGCTGCCAGGCTACCCTGTACATGGCCAACCGTTCTTAATCAATAAGCTCTACGGGCCATCCTCAGACATCAAAAAGACGTGGTATGATGGCTGGGGTAAGGCGCAGGCCAACCGCGATACTCCTCCTCATCAATTTGCTGTGGTGTGTGAGGTTCAAGAGCCGTTTGACTATAACACAACCTCACTGCCCCCTTCAACCCCTCCTCAAACTACTCAACCTCCCTCGTGGTTTGAAAAGAACTGGTTCGTGATCATCCCTATTGTAGTAGTGCCCTTTATCATCGCTCTGTTAATAATTATATTGTGTTGCTGCGGTTGCTGTTCCCATGATGATGATGACAAGATGGTGGTTCCCATGATTTTGCGGGAATACGACAGATCGTTTTTTTGCGCTGGAGATGGCAATGACAACAGAGGATATCAATTCTACGATGACGTTGTTGTAACAGCACCTATGAATGAGTGGATGCCAACTGACAACAACTGCAACACCAATGCTGCTCCTCCAGCGGACACCGCACCATCTGTCGAAGATAGCACTGTAATATCGAAGACTCCGTCTTTCAAAAGGCGGCGAAGTCGTGGCCGCACCTCATCCAATGTGTTCGCGGAAATCAGTATTCCAAATGGTGAGGAGATCAAGGAAGCTGCGAGCGAGGCGACTCTTCAGGACTCAGCAAAGACACGCCGCAGTAGTATCACCACGTCAGTAAATGGTGCGAATGACGAGGCCACGATAGATACGTGATTGGAAATGCCCCCTGTGTAATACTTGTCCCCTTCGTGCGCTGCATTCTTGTGAGTCATCACTTTACTTCTATTTTTGATAAATAACAGCACTGGAACCACCACTCCACCTGGCTGATTGAATGTATATATACACATTTATTTAACTGCTTATATATGTGTACGTCACTACGACTGATGGACCTTTTTTTGGTGTCTTGTCTGCCAGGATTTCTAGTCAACCTCCCCGGCTGGAATCTCCATGCGCTCAAATATATCAGTGTTGCTTTATGTGATTAGTCTGGCAATTCGTGGACGTCCAGGTTTTTGTTTTTCTGCCTTACTCTGGGGCCGGCATCTCCTTTCGACCAGCAGCGGCACAGGGCTGCCGCTGGGTAAAGGTGGTTCATTGCAAATGTCTTTTATGTGTCATTAAAACTCTGATATGTGCGTTTGGTCAGCGGCGGGTCTCGTGGCCGTCGCTCTTCCGCCACTCTCCGCCCCC